TACTAACTAATGCACAATCGAACCGTGGAAACACGGTGAAGGGTTTGTAGGTAGATAGGGTAGAAGCTCAGCAGCTGAAGGTATCTCACGTCAAGTAGGGAGCACAGGCATGAGCGGCAGGTGCTCGTTAAACTACTTGGCTAGCCCTAAGACCGGTATTGACCACAGTGCAACTGAACTGTGTGACACAAGGAGGGGTTGTAAGCGTTGAGAGGAGACCTTGTATCTGGTGGCCATGTCGTCATGTCCACGACGTTAAGGAATTTTTAAGGTTATAGCTGGCCGTCCTTCAATTGTTGGTTGGCCACCAGCTCTACTTCTGTAGTGATAGCAACAGGGAAAGGGGTTGTTAAATAGCAGTTTGCCCTAAGTTTTGAGTAGTAGTTTAAGTGTTAAGGGGTGAGGGTCTTGGGGATAGGTCTACATGGTGAGGAGGTGGAGAGGTCCCTTACCGTCTGTGCCCAGAAATCACCATGGATGATTACCCCATGTTCGCCTTTCTGGCCCTATCTGTGATTTGGGGGCCCCTGTTGCGCTTGCCTTTCCTCTTAGGCTTCTTTACATGTGTGCCTAATGCACATGACCCTCAAGTCCAGAAAAGAAATCCCGGGGCTGTGGGACCCGGGGTTTGAAGCAGAAAAGGAGGTGGTACAATACCACCACGAGAGCATTGTCCTTAGCACTTTCCTTTTTCCCTTCAGCCTTTTTGTTCTTCAGCCAGGAGGTGGGACAGTGCCACCACCAGAGCAAACACAGCCATGCACATAGAGCATCCATGCGAGCATGAGTGAGAAGACTCCCCCTGTTCAGAACCTCTTGCGTACAAGGCCGCCCACGTGGATGTAGGTTGAGCGGCGGCTGCCCCCACCCCCGTGTGTCATATCGACCCACTTGCACACAGCCAAAAGGCAAAGAGGCAAAGAAAAGAGGAAGGAAACAGCCCAAACAAAACAGAACAGGGGGCTGCAAAGCAAATCCTAAATGACAATCCTAGATGACAAGTCCCACATGCAAACACCGCCCCCAACAACTACAGGCCAAACGACGGGACAAGACCAGCCAGGATGTCATAAGACAAGGCATAAAAAAGCTCCTATCCACAGTGTGACAGCCAAAAAGAAGAGAAGACAATTTCGGATGACAATTCCCACATTCGAGCACCGCCCCGCGCAACCAGGATGCCAAAAAACCCGAATGACTGGTCCCACGTGAAAGCACCGCCACGCCCATGAAATACAGCCAAAAAGAAGAGAAAACAATCCCGGATGACAATTCCCACATTTGAGCACCGCCCCGCGCTCAAAGGGTCGAGCAACGGGAAACAACCAGGATGCCAAAAAAAACGAATGACTGGTCCCACGTGAAAGCACCGCCACGCCCATGAAATAGCCCGAACAACGGGACCAGACCAACCGGGATACAGACAAAATCAGTAAAACAAATTCTACCATAT